TTGCCAGGAAGCATAGCCCTTAGGCAGCTTTGCAGCCCCCTTTCTGCTTGTTGCACTTTCTCCATTCCATCTTTTGCTTTTTTGCAGGCTCTGACTCAGGGAAGGTGTGCAAAATGCACTAACTATGAGGAAAAGAAGGAAACCAGTTAGGGCTGAAATCAATGCTGGAGAGAGAGGGAGTGGAAGAGAGTGAGAGATGAGAGAGAGAGAGAGAGAGAGAGAGAGAGAGAGAGAGAAGAGAGAGAGGAGAGAGAGAGAGAGGAAGGAGAGAGAGAGAGACTTGCCTATGTTGCTCTCATGTTTGAGCTGAAGTGAGAATCTATTGCAGGTGGCATTTTTTAAATTTTTATTTGGGTTCAAGTCCTGTACAGGATGGAAATGGACATCGCCATGTTTATGTCCAAGGCTTTCAGTATAAAACAAACAACTTTTTCTTCTCCTTTGTCAAACTAGTGTTTTCTGTCCCCCAATTTATGTCTTGATATTGCCATGGGGACTGTGTTCAGAATCTAGAAGAACTGTCTAGCAATCTAAGTCACCCAAGGAGAAAGACAGAGCTGTGGTAATGAAGGGGGGAGGAGGCTGCAATGAAGTGCCTGGTTTAGTTTTAAGTTGGATGGCAATGGTCATATGTTTTACTAAATAAAGCCTTAGCATTAGCTTCAAGCTATTTATCAAGAGTGTGATAGATTTTGATGAACTCTGAAGCCACGAATATCTTCTTTTCAACTGTGCTATCTCTTTGTTTCCTTCAGATGTTTTCGCCTCCTGTAAGCAGTGGGAAAAATGGACCAACTTCTTTGGCGAGTGGACATTTTACTGGCTCAAGTATGTGAATTATTTTCTTGGTGTGAAGTTCAGTATTACTTCTTTATTTACTCATTGTGTATTTTGGGCCCTGTTGAAGTGTTCTAAAAGAAGTCATTGAGTTTTAGTCTATGATGCTGTGGTTATTTCATTTTCTATGAGCAACAAACTTTGATAGAATGTTGCCTTTCACAGTTAAAGTGAGACCTGTTTCTAAACCAAGAAAATGTATCATAATTCCATCCCTTAATTTTAAAGTGGTTTTAAAAAATACGGTTGTAATTAAACGTGAACAGAAGACTAATGTTAATAACATGGGAGTAAATCCATGTTGCCTTTTTTAAAATAGAGGGGGAAAAGTCTAACTTGCATAAAAGGAGAAATAATACCAGTTATTAGGTTCTGTATACAATTAACCGTTTTAAAGGAAGGAGCACTTAATTTTTCAGACAGGTCTGTAAATAGCCTCATGCTCGTCTGAGACTCTAAGTAGAAATTCATTTATCGTTAAAATATTTTGTGGATGCTTGAGCTGTTTGGTTTTCCCTCTCTTATCATTGACTTATGCAATGAATTTAATATTGCAGATTTGAAGAGTCTTAGCATTTTATACATGAGAATTCTTTGGATGATGCTCCCATAAAAAGCGAGCGCTATTCACAAAGGAATCTGTGTGCACAGTGATTATCTGGCATCTGAGGAGGAATTTTTAGTATAGGACTCTTTTGAGTGTCTCTTATTAAAAGTGGGAGCTGAAAATGTGAGATTTCTGTAAAGTGTGTGTGTGTGTGTGTGTGTGTGTGTGTTTAATCTATCCAGTTTTGAATAAGTAGTCAATACATTGTTGCCTGGTATCCTTTAGGTCCAGAATTTAAAGCCATTGATGCCTGTTAAGTAGTTACAGGATTTTAGAGTATTGGCCATGGTATAGAAAAGTCCACAAGTCAGCATACTCTTAAATAAGGCTGGTAATGTTGACATCTTTTAGCTGTGAGATGCCAGTGTGTTTATCTGTCAACTATAGATATAATTTTTATTTATTTTCATCTGGTGTAGTAACAACCAAATAAATCTTGCTGACCTGATTTATATAATTTGTGTATTTTTATAAAATTATTATCTTTTAAAATTTGCTGGTTTCTAAGTAAATTACTTCTCCTGGCTTTCATAAGTTGAAGGGATTTTTTTTTCCTCTTTAATATTATTTACAAAATATATGATGCCTCCTGTAGTTTTTTGCCTTAGCAGTTTTAGGGTCTTGGATGAAAAAGTACTAATGACAGTATGTTTTGCTTTACTGTTTGAATCCTATGACTGGTTCCATTTCTTAAAAAATGGTATTACATCTTACAAATTTCTGTTCAGTATTTGCTGTATAGCTTTCAAGACAGAAAATAGTAATATGAATGCTTGAAGTTAAGATGAAGACAAATGTCTCTTGTAGTCAAGTTAGTGTTTCCTGTAGACACCATCCAAATACTAACTGTATGTCTGGCAGTAATTTCCTTCATGTTTTACTTAGGGAATGTGTGTATAGTAGAAATCTGACTAAAGTACATGTCAGGCAGGCCCAGAGGTTGACTACTTTCAAAGTTAGTGTAAAATACTGTTTATACTGTTGGAAAGATGGACACATTTGAAGTAACTTAATGTATTACTTTAGATATGATTTAATAAGATAAATTGCAAGTATGAAATATGTTAAATTTAAAAAGACAGTAGTTTTATTCAGCTCCTGTTCTATGTTCATGTTCAGTTAAAGTCCTTGCTGAAGTGTTGAAGTGTTTGTAGAAAGCATAGTATGGATGAGTTGAATGTGTACTGAATTGTTTTGGTATGTGATCATATATCAAAACGTATAGCAATTCAGACAATGGTGTGTGTGTGGGTGTGTGTGTATGCATGTATGTATGTATGCATAATCCCAGAAGGGGACTTTACTTCTGCTGAACTGTTAGGATATTTCTAATAAATATGCAGAGATTATCTTCAAGGTGTTGAACTTTAAAGCTACCTGGCAGCAGTGGTGTGGTTTTCAGGACCAGATGTTTACCTTGTAAGGACAGAAAGTGTAGGGCTCTTTTATCCTGCCCTCCTGATTGAAAATGCAGGGCATTCATTTCGAGCAGGAGGATGGTGTCTGGGATACAGAAGTGCAGAGCATAGTTCCCCATCTCTTAAGGCATATCAGAACACATGGCTGGTAGTGAAGAACAAGACCCATATTTCTACACAATAAGAGACAGACATCTCTTTTAAAGAATAATTTTAAGAAAAATTATGAAAACTACACTTTGCCCTTTAACTGGAAGAATGAATTAGAAAACTTTGGATAGAGGAATTTTTTTCTAAAGTTAGTTGGAGTTCATATTCATTTTTCCTGAGTAGATTCAGGTATGACTTAGAAACTTGAATTCAGAAAAAAGAGATCTGGACTATAAGTAAATGATTCCAATTTGAAAGAATTACTGATTTTATTTTTTTCTTTAGGGAGGTCTGGTAATATTTCATTCATCAAGTTCCCAATAGCTGTTGATTCCATTAATACGTGATATTCAGTGTAAGAGTGAAAATTGTGTGGCCGGGTTCTCTTTAATCTTTCATTCCACAAACATGGCTTTTCCTACCACCTTAAGAAATGGTGAGGCTGCTAGGGCGAATGGAATGTAACCTGAGCTCCAGCCTGACATTCCCAGGGTGCATTTTTCACATGAAAGGCTTTTGTCAACCCAGGAAAGGACCAGCAGTTTTTGTTTGATGTTTGCAGGTGTTCCGCAGAATGCAGTAAAACTGTTCAGCCAGGATGGACCAGAGCTACCATGACCTTAACTGGTGGTTCTGGGATTCTGTTTAAGGGTAGCTCTAACCTATATGGTAATGTATCCAAAGAAATCTGATATCTGTTATATGATTGATCTTAAAATGAACTAAAAACCTCCACATGCCTGCATGCTTGGAAAATTGTTCTCATTAAAGGGAGGGAAAAAAAAATGACTGAGTCACCAAAAGAAAGCATTTCTGCTTTAGGGTGCGTAGAAGCTTAATTTTCTGACATGACAAATGTGTAATTTATCTGATTATGTTTGAGGCTTTCAGGAACAAAAGGTAAACATACTAGAGTTTGGCATCATTAAAAAAATCATTTTAAAGTTGGCCTACTAAAAAGATAATATACTGAATAACTTGTTAGGTCAGCCTTATTGGCATCTGTTAACATATGTGATCAGTCTCTGAACAATCCTACATCTTGCTCCTTTAGTTTAAAAGTGGAGAGGTCTTCTCCCTGTAGTTGCTTAGTTCTTAGGTGTTCAGCAGTTGCTAAAGACTGCCAAATCCACCGGTGTTAAAACAATTAAGAGGAATGTCAAAGCACATCACATCTCTTTTCAGAGCCACTTTTGGAAAGGAGGAAACAGTCCTTGGCTTTCATGTAATTTAGCTCACCTATGTTCCCCATGATACCAAATGATATGTCAATTGAGTCAAGACATTGAGGGGGGGAAAATCAACCTCAATGTGTGCTTTGTATGATAGAGGGAAAAAAAATTCAAGTGGCCAACATCATGTGTTCATTTTTCCCTGTGTCAGTGTGAATTCTTTGGATGGTGTGGAAAGGAAAATGGTTTTTCTTGAAGGTGTCTGTGGAGAAGATGCTCCCTATTTTCCTTCCTGTGTGTGTATGATAGAATGAAATATATATACACATGTGTGCGTGCATGCGTGCGTGTGTGTGTGTGCGTGTGTTCGTGTGTGTGTGTGTGTGTGTGTGTGTGGTGTGTGTGTGTTGGTGTGTATGTGTGTATGCCTGTGCATATATGAATGGATGTGTGTTGGGGCCAGCCCCTGAGAAACACAGGACCTGGAGCCTCCAATCCACAGCTGGGGAACTCAGGAGCCCAAGCGAGGAGCTTCTGTGGTGCTTTTTGTTAGCATTGACAATCCGCTTTGATTTGCTGTCTGTGGTCCTGCAGACCCTTTCTTGGAAATAATGTTGGACTCACCACTGTTTTTCTGTCCTTTGTCAGACATAATGTAGTTTAAGGATTGGTGAGCCTTGTGTCCAGGAAGTGCTGTCTTGTGCTCACGTGCCCTGTGGATGCTTTGCTAGGTGTGGAACTGTTTTAGATTATTGATTGTTCTCTCCTGTCTGGTGTCCCCTGTGTTCCTTTTGGAGTGCTGGGCAGAATCCGTGTGAGCTGAAATCAGTGCTGTTTATGTGCCAGGTGCTATGCTCTTTGCTCTGTATTCCATTTTAATCCTCTCAAGAACTCAAGTAAATGCAAGCATTACCATGCCCAGTTCATAGATAAGGAAACTGAGGCACAGAGGTTTTAAACAACTAGTTCTCAAAGCAAATAGCAATGAAAAATTAGGTTTCTGTTCAGGCCTGCCTAGACTCAAATCCTTGTAATCCTTCACATACACATATACACACATTCACATAGGCACACATGCACACCAGCCCACACAAAGGCATCAAGAGATAGACAGCTCATATTTTTCAAGATTATATAGCTGTGAAATATAATATTGAGGCCTGGCATGAAATACTACGTATGAGTTTTAGAATAGAAAGCCTTTTTAAAAAAAACAAAAAAACAAACAAACAAAAAAAACAAAACAAAACCAAAAAACACATTTAAGGTAATGCTACAAACCATACCCACTATTTTTCCTGCCATATCCATATTAAGTTACCCTTGTAAATTATGATGGATTTCAATGTGAATTGGTATATTGTTCCCACATTATCACGTTATTTTTACAGAGAAAATATAGCAGATATTTTAGAAGTTGTGTTTGCTGTCTATGCAAGCTAGCAGCTATGTGGGTCCCAGTAAAGGTATTTTCAATTATTTTTGTGTAAATAATCAGACCTGAAATTGCAGTAACCCAGTGTGACCTATTAATATTTGAACAAATAAGGCCCTCTTATATTCAAATAAAAAAAAAGCATGCAGTTCATTGTTAGGTCTTTGGAAGGGAATTCAAGCTCTATAATCCTGAATTCAGTCTGCATC